GAACTACTACTTCTTACTTTAATCCTTACGTTAAAGTTTTTTTTTTTGGGGGGGGGTGAATTTCTGCCTTTTTAGCAGTTTTGGAAGTCAGAAACACACTCCAGAGGAAAAAGCAAAGCCACACACGTTACTTTCATGGGTAATATCGCTATAATGGACCAGTAATTTTTCTGCAACGTTGCCTATAAGTTGACAGGTCTTGTGGTGGGCATGTGCTAGTGGCAGTAAGGGAATTTTTCCACAATTTGTTCGCAAACACACTAACTCAAAAACCTTTTTCTCTACATTGTGGGCTATGATTCAGGAAGTGATCTGGCGTTGTTTCTAACCTTGTTTACATTTTCTTTGTAGTGCTGTGGCAATTTCTATGAACATAAGGCCACACAGACTTCATTTTATGGATGACATCCGTGCGCACATTTATTTTCGTCTCTTCTAAAAAAAAAAAGATCATGTCCTCCGAGGCTCTGGCCTGGCTCTAGGCCTGGGTAGTCCAGGTACATGTAGTTTGCAATATGGAGGTGGTAATTCCGGAGGATGGCACCCAGGCTACCGAAGCTCTATGACACAAGTACATAATATACGTACAGTGCCGATTCATAAATGCCGCAAAAAGCCAGCATGTGCCGGCTTCTCATAAACGTCGCTATGTACAGTACCGTTCGCGTTATAGTTACCCTAACGGCCGTTACTAACGCGTTTTTTTTCCGTTACTTTTCCGTTACTTTTCCGTAAGTTTTCCGTAACTTTTGCGTAAGTTTTCCGTTACTTTTCCGTTACTTTTCCGTTAGACTTCTGCATTCATATGCAGGCCGCGGTAACATCACAGAATAATGGGAGGAGTACTAATTTACCTCATGCGGGGCGGGAAATTACCGATACACACCGCTGGAACAGCGGAAGGAACGTTGATCTAGCCTGCATTTTACTATATTGTACGTTTTACGATCACCGGCGCAATTCAATTTGATAGACATTTTCTTTTGTCACTGTTGCCCAGGCAAGCGTTTCTATAGTTTGTCAACTTTGTTTTGCTGTTTTTCTCTGTTAACTTATTTTACCACCGAATAAGCAAACCTACATGTACAGTAGATGATCTGAAGTTATAAATGCCCCGGTCCGCCGTACATAATAGGCGGCGGGCGTGAGGTAACGTTAGGGATGTGCAAAAACATCGTGGAAAATTCCTATGACACTCGAAAAAAGGCAGCATATTTACACGTGCCCACCAACATTTTTATGGCTAATTATTGACCAGTTTTGGGGAGTTTTGTTATGTCCTTGGAGTTTTGTTTAGAGTGGGACGGAAAGCCGTGCCGCCACTCCGACTCCATGCACTTCCGTGTTACATTACGTTGTATGTGACCAACAAAATTACGCCAAAGGCACCACAGGGGGAGGGTACGGGAGGGGGGTGGCCCCCCTCCCGTTGGGGGGGTCCGGGGGGCCTCCCCCGGAGGAAATCGTAAAAATTAGACCCCTAAACATCGTTTTTGGTACATTCTGAGCAGCTTTTATGGCAATCTTGTGGCTCCAAAATTTACTGTTCGTGCACAAATAATTCCGGAAAAAGGCTGTATTAAAATTGTTTGCCACTCCGATCGTATTACGCGCGGTCCGGCCACAAAATTCAGAAAAATAAAGAAAGCATATTTAAATGTCAATTTGATCGAAAACATAATCATTGGGATGTGAAAAAATGTCACAGTTTCGCTTTTTGGAAGTTTTGTTTCTGTTTTGACGGTTTAATTCTAGCGGGGTGCGATCCCAAATGCCCTATGGAAATTCACCCCGCGTCCCGGTACACTGACTTCCGGGTTCCTTGAACAAGAAAATTACGAGAAAATGGCCAAAAATCGGCGTAGAGAAATATACATCTTCCCGAAAATTCTTTTAATTATGTATTTCTTTAATAGGGTGTTGCTTAGTAGTCGTAGAAAAAACGTAGAAAGCAGCGTAAATGTGTCTCTTCTTCACCGGCGAGAGCCTGCCGGCGAAGAAAAATCTTCCCGCGCTGCCGGCTGCTCGCCACATCGCTTATCCAATCAGAACGCAGGTCATGTGAGGTGAACCAATCAGAGCGTCGATCGCACG